AGCATTCGGCACGGTCTTCTTGGAGTGACGTCCCCTCCCAATACAAACACGCCCCATAGTATAGTCCTGCCCCTGACGATGATTGGCAGCTTTCCATGTAGACATCGGAAATTCAAATGCAAAATGAATTGCGATTCCATTTGAGTTTTGGCAGGTTACATGCAGCGAGAGTGAAAAAGCAGACGTGGTAATTAATATTGCTATTTAAATATGACAGGCTCATAACTCCTAAGACATGGGAAATACAGTTGCAAATGGACTTTGCTTTTTAATTTGAAATTTGGCAGTCACTGTGCGTCCACATATGGAAAACGCAATTGAAGATACAATTCCCTTTGAAAATAGTCCGGAATATCCTTCCATAATGACCTGCAGTGTAAACGAGGCCAAAGTCATCAGAAAAAAAACCTTGTCGGTGCCCGGATGTTTTTTTTTTATTATTTATTTATTTATTATTATTGTTATTAACCAGAACAAAATATACAATATTTTACAAAAACATGCCAGAGTGTACAAACCATTGAGTCATTAATCAAAAACTCTATATTCGTGAAAAAATATTACAAGTCTTTTTATGCCCGGATGTTGGGCAGAGGGATGGCGGCGCAGTGACGTCACTCGCAAGGCTTTTAGAACAAACTTGCCTTCCCTACGTCACTGGCAGGACAACTGGCTGCAAATATAGTTTGGTCTGCAGCGCGTGGAGCCGTTAGGAGCCGGACTACGCAAACCAACGCGCAAATGCTTGTTCCATCGCGCGTTCGCGTTTGAAACGCCATCTTTTCACGCGTAGCGAGGCATGAAGCGCAAGAGTGAGCGACGGAGCGAGTCGAAGAAGAGACTCCGCGCGTCTCTGAGGAAGCAGACAGAGTCCAAGAGCGATATTTACCTTCGTATCACAGGTAAACAAACTACAGACGCTGCCGGAACTGCCTCAAAGGGTTAAACCGGTCGTCGTACAAATCCTGTCAGGGGTTAGTTTGGCGGTTTACAGCACGGAATGGTCGTTTTAACACGAAACATGAGATCACATCACAAACTAAGCGCTGTTTATGTAGCGATTATCGTTGATTATATGTCAGGATGACTCTCTAATGGTGTCTGTGTAACGTTAGAGACGGAACGAGCTGCTTTGTTCTGTTCGCTCACCGCGAAATGAGTGTAATAGCGGATCAAAGCTTTCAGTCAGAGTGACGTGAGATTCTATTGGCCAATCAGCTCTCCTCTCCTAGCAACGGCTTGGGCAGCGTGCCTGCCTGCTGCTCAATTTAAATTATGGAGGGAGGAGCTTCATGTGATTGACGTGGCTTTGAGCCAATCAGGCGCCGGGAAACGGTTTAACGTTGCGTTGGATTTTAAACTGAACTTTATTCAGACTTCAGGCGAGAGGGAGATCGCTCGCGTGGCGTTATTTTATTTCATAGTTCTAATTTAAATATTTTTAATGCAGGGTTTATTGCGTAAAACCGGTTCGACAAGTAAAAATTAGATATTTTACATTCTTTTAAATTCGCTGCATAATTTCTTGAAGTGTCGACCTAAATTAGACTGTTTTGGTTGAATGTGTAAATGTGTTTTGGCTTTATTATTATTATTAAACTAAACCGAGATTAAATAATGCTCCGGAACAACGTTACAATAGAAACGTGTGCTCTGTCAAACTGCGTCGAGTTCATTAAAGGTGAGGCTCATATTTTTTATTTATTTTTATTTTTTTAATCATGCACATGATTAGTTCTGAGAACTCACTTCCGGTACGCGGATTCAAACTAATACATGGACTCATACGTGTTTACATTCACAGACTGCATGAAATCTGCAGGAAGTACATTAATTGTGAGAGATTGCCTTATAGTTTGGCTTCATGTGTTTTTCAGATCAGCTGTATTTTGCTCTTCTTCATCAGAAGGTGAAGAGCACTCCTGACAGACACTGTTTCTGCATCGATGAAGAGCTTTCCTATGAGAAGTGAGCATGCCATTATGCATTACTTCTAAAATACTGTCGAATGGCTCATGATTAGAGACAGTATAATTCAATAAACACTATAAAGTGCATTGATGCATGAAAGGTCTTTAAATGATGGAAAGTTAGCTGTCACACTCAATCTACTCCATGCCTTTTGTCTCTGATTGATAGTTTGGACTCTTAGTGTAATTGTACAAACGTCCAGCTTCAGCTGGAGCTTCTCGTGTCAAATCTTGACTGATTTTTATCAAGTAAGCATCAGGATAACTGCAGTAATATCTCCAGATGAACACTTGCTGGACTGAAGCAGCTCAGCTTTACTTGATTCTCCATCAATCATGCTTTAGAGTCTCAAATCTGATCCTCAGGATCTTTTGAGGGATCAAATATGATAAAACATGCATGCACATTTTGCATAATATTGTGTTTTTCCCCGTAGAACAGCCTGTTAAATGTACATATGGTTTCTATGGATTGCACCAGACCTTTATCAATGACCTCTTTGATTTTTATATTTGAACAGCTTCTATGCAGACTTTGGCCCGCTCAACCTGGCCATGTTTTATCGCTTCTGTTGCAAACTCAACAAGAAGCTGAAGGTAATGACGCTTCATTATGCTGGCACATTAAACACAGTCTTTGCATGCAAGTGTTGTTGTAATTGTATTGAAATGCTTTTAAATTTGTGCTCTTCTAATTCAACAGTCTTGTGCGCTTGCAAAGAAGACAATTGTGTTTTATACCTGTGGTGACCGAAAGAAACAAGCCAATGCTGCGTATTTGATCGGCTCTTATGCTGCAAGTTTCCCAGTCCAGCTTTATATTTACTGTCCATTTAGCCTAAAGAATTCACTTTCATGAAAGTGCAACCTGATGAAATATTCTACATTTTTCTAATGGTTTAGCATGTATATGCAAGGAATACATTGCTTGTAGTTTATTTTGATATTTAGATGTGGAAAAGTCACTTTTGTCCGCTTTTAGGTAATGCATCTACAGAAAACCCCAGAAGAAGCGTACAGCCTTCTGGTCTCTCAAAATGGATCTTATCTTCCTTTTCGGTAATTAAAATGTATCCCCTTCGTTATTTAAGAACATGCATTTCATGAGATAGCAAGTTTTTCTGTCCACAAAAAATACACGTCGGCCTCAGGGAAAATACTAAATGTATTTAAATCCGTAGTAACCGTGCATCTTATTTCTTTTGGTTAATTTCTAGGTTTCTGTTCACCTTTGACTTAATTTTTCATTGCATTCAACAGAGATGCATCTTTTGGAGCTTGCATGTACAATCTGAATATCCTTGACTGTCTACGGGCCGTTCACAAGGTAATCCAGAGTCTCTCTGAAGCTTCATCAGGCGTGTTTGCTGATCCGCTGTTCCTGATGATCGCATGTTGTGTGTTTCAGGCTCTCCAGTTCGGCTGGCTGGATTTCTCAAAGTTTACTGTGGAGGAATACGAACATTATGAGGTGAGTTTCTACTAGGGCTGCACGATAAATCGCATGCAATATTTAACGCGCATC